ACAAATACGAGTTGACGTGAATTCCCTCTGCCTACTCCCCACTATGCCTTTTGGAGCAAGAAACAAGGAAAGTGGCAGGTCTGTCAGTTCCCTCTGGCTCTCTTTGATATTGCTTGGACAGGAGACAAGGACTACATCAGAGCCTGCTTCTCAAGTTATCCTAACAACTAGAAAAATCTCCTTCCTTTGGGAACCCTTTGCCAACATTTGGTTTCTCATTGTCTGTGGGGAACCTCAGAATTCCCATAGAAGTGACATGGAGCTAGCAAGTTCCTGCTGAGGGGATGGAAGTCAAGGTGAACTAAGGGTTTTTTCTCTCAAGTTAACAGGAAGCTGACTCAGTATTTGGGAATTCCTCATAACTTTTGCAACAGTGGAGAATGGAGGAACGTGTGGAAACTTGGTCTTAGAAGAATGAAATTTTTGGCTAGTTCTGTTGTATGTATGTATGTATGTATATGTCATTCTATCTATATATGTGGATTGTTGATCTGTATGTAGGTATTTCTTTCTATGGCTGCAAGGTGACATGGTGGATAGAATGCGAGTCAGGAAAACTCATCTTCTTGAGTTCAAATCTGGCCTCAGACACTTAACTGTTTTGTGATTCTGGGCAAGTCACTTTTGCCTCAGTTTCCGCATGTGTAAAATGAGCTGGAGAAGAAAATGGCAAACCACACTCTAGTATATTTGCCAAGAAAACCCCAAATGGGGTCACGAAGAGTTGGACACAACTGAAAATGACTGAGCAATAACAAAATTTCTTTCTATTTATGTATGTGAAAAGTCCTCAACACTAGGGGGATACAATTAAGACATCTTATCCTTTCTGAATTCCACATGGGCCCTTTTGGTACCACAGAATTTTCAGGAAACTGCATGACCACAATGAATATTGATTATTTACTTGCTTCTCTTTAAATTTTAGCTGTATTGGTTTTGTTTGTGTAAAAACATTAATATATAATCAGAATTGTCCTTTTTATTGTCTGTGATGTTCTATACCCTGCTAGGTCTACTCTTTCCCTATCTATAAATCTGACAGGTAATTTCTTCCTTACTCCTATTTGTTTATGATGTCATCCTTTATATCTAAGTCATGTTTCCATGTGGTGCTTATATTGACATACAGTGTGAGACTGATTTATTAAATAGTGAATTCTTACCTTAGTAGTTGGACTCTGGGCTTTTCAAACACTAGGCTACTGTGTTTGTTCGTTTCTGCATATTGTGTACCTAATATGTTTCACTTATAAAAATTAAACACAAAATAGAAATCCAGAAAATCAAAGAAGAGATGAACAAAATTGAAAACAAAAAACCCATTAAATCAATAAAACCAGGAGGAGGTGGTTTTAAAAAGTAATAAAAAAAACCATTGATTAATTTGATTTTTAAAAAGGAGGAAAACAAAATTACTATTGTGAAAAAAATGAAAGGTGAATTATCACCAAGTTAAGAAGAAATAATAGGAAATATTAGCATTTTTGGCCTAGTTATATGCTAATTAAACTGACAGTCTAAATGAAATGGTTAAATATTTACAAAAATATAAAAGCCCCAGGTAAACAGAACAAGAGCTTAAATACCCAGTGAACAAGCCCTGAATGAGCTCCCAAAAGAGGGGAAACACCAAGAACAGATGGATTTACAAGTGAACTCTATTAAACATTTTAAAGAAGTATTAATTCCAAAATTACAAAAGTTATTTTAAAAAACAGAAAAAAGAAAAGATCCTTTCAAATTCCTGTTTGTGGAATAAATGTGGTTTTTGATAACTAAACCAGGGAGAATCAAAACAGAGAAAGAAGCCTATAGAGGAGTATCCATAATGAATCTCAGAAAATTTTAAGTATTTTATTAACAAGAAGACTACTGTAATATATCAAAAAGATTACATACTTTGACAGGGTTGGATTTATACTGGAAATGCAGGGTCGGTTCAATATTAGGAGACATAATTGACCGTATTAATAACAGCAACAAAAATTATGATTTTATCAATAGATGCAGAAATAGTTTTTGGTAAGCTATAACCCATTCCTATTAAAAACACTTGAAAGCATAAAAATAAATGATTCTTTCCTTAATTTAATAAATATTATCTATCTAAAACCAAGAGCCAGCACTATGTAGTATGAGGATAAACTAGAGGTCTTTCTAGTGAGGTCGGGGTAACGCAAGGATATCCATTATCACTTTTATTATTTGCTAGAAATTCTAGCTATAATGATAAGACAAGAAAACTAAATTGAGGGAATAAACATAGCCAAATAGTCAGTCAAACATTTATTAAGCGCCTACTAGGTGCCAGGCACTGTCAGTATTGGGGATACAAAAAGAGACAAGATAGGCCTTGCCTTAAAGGAGCTTACAAGAGGAAAGAAAATACTGATTTTTGCAGTTGCTATGATGGTTTACTTATAGGCTCCTGGAGAGTCAACTGAAAAATTAATTGAAATAATTAACTTGAATAAAATTGAATGATATAAAATAAACTCACATAAATCATTAGATTTTGTATATTGCCAGCAAAACCTAGAAGAAAGATATAGAAAGAGAAATTCCATTTAAAAAACTCTAAACTGTATAAAATACTTGGAAATCTAATTTTCCTACATAGGAATTATATGAATACAATTACAAAACACTCTTACACAAATAAAGACAGTTCTAAATAATTGGGGAAGTATTCACTGTGGGAATAGGTTGAGCCAATAGAATAAAAATGACAATAGTATTTAACTTATTTATAGCCACACCAATCATGCTACTGAAAGATTGCTTTATAGAGGTAGAAATATAAATATGAGATGGACAGTAAAAATATGACTTTTTATTTTCACAGTTCTAATGTTATGGTTTAGATCTGGCAAACAGCATGGTAGGGCAGAATTTTGTGGCTTAGAGTGAATATCTCAAGGTAACAGTGGATGGCCATTTCTTGCTAGGCCAAGTGGACCACAGGCTCACAATTGGAACAAAATAATATACTGCTGATTTATTCGTTAACAAAAGGAGGTTTCCTTAGCCATAGGAGGAGAAAATCCTTCATGGGAAAGTACAGGATATTCATCAAAGAAAAAGCCTGGATTCAGATGAGCATAATTCTCCTGTTTCTGTGTTAGTCATTCTTAAGTAGTCTGTAACCAGTCCCTTAAGTCCTTGGTATTTTAGGCAGTGCCTTGGATAAAGTGCCAGACCTGGAGTCAGGAAGACTCATCTCCCTGAGTGCAAATGTAGCCTCCCACACTACCTGTGTGACCCTGGGCAAGTCACTTAAGCTTGTTTGCCTCTATTTCCTGATCTGTAAAATGAGCTGGGAGAAGGAAATGGCAAACCATTCCAGTGTCTTTGCTAAAGGAAGACCCAAATGGGGTTATGAAGAGTCCAGCACAAGTGAAATGACTCTAGGGTCAACAAAAAAGGACTGTGGGAGCTTTCCATGTTACTGAAGCCTTCCATATGTGTTATATATCCTCCTTTATAATGCTAGCTCCTTGAGGGCAGAGATTGTCTTTTTTTCTATATCTTCATTGTTTAGCACAGTACTTTTGCACATAATAAGCACTTAACAAATGCTTTATTCATTAATTTGCATAATGAATTATGTGGATAGGGAGAGTAGTTCTGGTATTGTGTGTATTTGTTAGGGACTGAGGTGGGGTTAATTTAGGGATAACTTCCTGAAGGATAGAGGTTTTATATTTTTTATATTGTTATTATTATTTTTTTGTGAGGTAATCAGAGTTAAGTGATTTGCCCAGGGTCACACAGGGTTTTAAATTTTTTAAATCAAATTTATGGGAAGGATATAATGTGACAATGCCCGTCTTCATTTGAAGAATAACATAACTGCGTGTTTAATTTTTCTATTAAAATAAGTTTTTATATTTAATTTTTTCAATTTTAATGCATGTACAGTTATAAGGCAAATTTTGCCTGTTGTGCAATCAGCTAAGAAGAAGGTTGAGGAGAGATAATGTGATATAGTGAAAGACAATGATGAACATGTAGTCTGGGAACTAGGTTTGAATCCTAGACTTTGTTCTTTACCACCTGTATCTTTACCACATTCTGGGCTGCTCGGCCTCAGTCCCTTTTTCTTCATTTATAAAATGAAGGCATGAGATTAGTCAGTTTTTAAGTTCTAAATCTGAGATGTGATTAGACTTGAGGGCTAGTTTTGGCCCCCCTCATTCAAAAAGGGTCATAAGGAAGAACAGGTTACAAGAAGACCATCATTTTTAGAATGAGAATTAGAAGAATTAGACACTCAGGTTGAGAGTTTGGAAAGCATTGTATTTGATCTAATCGGGATAGGGAAGGGCAGGTGTAGAGTTGTGATATGTTCAAAGTAGCGGAGATGGAAAATAACTTTGCAAGAGAAGAGAGAGGATGTCCAGAAGAAAGAAATGGCAGTAATTTTGTAATGATAAAACCTTGAGATAGAGAGAAAGGTGTAGATTTGGCTATTTTGTAGAGGAGAAAATCCTATTGTTTGGCAAATGAATAAATACATTTAGAAAGCAGAAGTGAGAAATTCTGAATCCAGTGAAGATCTTAACCTTTATACAAGTCTCTAAAAGGGACTGGAAAGGTAATCTTTCCTTTTGGGTTTTAGTTATGACATTTGTGGTTTCTAAGTACAGAAAACAGTAGTTCCTTAGCTACTGTGATAATCAAACAGACTCTTGTCTTCTTATTTGATGTCTTTAAATTTATTGAGAATTGTTGGTTGTCTTTTTTGAATCCCTAGCTAATTAAGCTACTAGTTAGTTATGCTTTAGAAAAGGATTGACTAACAAGTCTGGGGGGGGGGGGAAGGAAAATAAAACGTTTTCCTTTGCCCTGACTAGTGACTTGTTTTTTGTTTATTTAGTCCAGATGCCTGGCTAGTAAATATTTTGGATACCTACCCTTCAAAAATCCCCTGTATATGGATTAGAATGATACTGAATTTTTAGCTCTTTTCTTTTTTTCTTTTTTTTTTGCCCCAGGTCCAGCAAGACTATGAATCTCTGTTCCAAATGCTTTGCTGGTAAGTGCAGTAAAAGGCGGTTTTTTTGTTGTTGTTGTTATTGTTTTTGTTTTTGTTTTTTAATTTTGTTGTTTTTAGACAATTTAAGTCATATGGTTGGCACCTCCTTTGGGTATATGCATGGGGTTTTGTTTTCTTAGTGTTTGTGTGAAATCAGATTATCCTCACTTTGGTGCTTCATTAATTTGCTTAGTATTGTTGAAACAATCTACAATGTGCGTAATATAAGATCCTCTTGTGTATATGGACCAATCAAGTTTTACTCAGAGTTTACAGATGTCTGATATGACCCTGAACTGTAAAACTCTGTTTTAATATGGCAATATTTTCAGTCCTTCATCCTGGTTTGAATAATTAACTCCTTAATGAGGAATGTTGCCTTCCCACATAGTAACTCAATATAAATGATTTTGTAATCTGTAAGACTTTGATCTTTCAAATTCTAGAGTAAACACCATAATGAAATTTACTTTCCATGGTTGTTCCAATTTAATTTAAACGAGTAGACTTTCTACTGACATACTGTATTATATGATCATGAGCAAGTAATTTCCCTCCTCTGGGCCATTTTCCTCATTTATTAAAAAAAGGGAATTGGATAAGATAGTCTTTAAGGTTCCTTTAAGTTCTAAAACTGTCACCAAGAAGGTCTTCATATCCAGTGTTGTTAACCTGAGAGAGTCTAATTGGACTAAAATTATTTTCGTTCTTCAGCCACTTCATTTTCACTTACTTTTAATTGTATTTTTTGGACTCCCCATAAGAAAATAATCTCAGTATTCCATTGTAACCTTGGAACCTCTAGAAGTCAATTGGTCAATAATTCTTTATTAAGCATCTACTTTGTGCCAGGCACAAAAAAAGGGGGGGGGATGCACAGAAGGGCAAAAGACAGTTCACTCCTTCAAGGCTTACAATCTAATGGGGTAGACAACAGGGGAACAAATTTATACAAATAAGCCATATATAGGATAAATGAAAAGTAATTGAAAGAGGGATGACACTGGAATTAAGAGGGGTTGGGAAAGGTTTCCTGTAGAAGATTTTGATTGGGACTTGAAGGAAGCTTGGGAAGCCAGGAGATGGAGATGTGGAAGGAAAGCATTCCAGGCATGGAGAGGAGCCAAAGAAAATTCCTGGAGCTGAGAGATAGAGTGCCTTATTTTTGGAACAGCTAGGAGGCTTGTGTCACTGGATTGAAGCACATATGTTTGGGGAGCAAGGTGTAAAAAGACTGGAAAGGTAGGAGGGAGCTAGGTTGTGAAGGGCTTTGAATGGCAAATAGAGAATTTTGTGTTTGATCTTGGAGGAGTTAGGGAGTCAGTAGAGTTTATTGAGTAGGGGAGTAGTAGCATGGTTGGACTTGTGAAATAGGCAAATCACTTCGGTGACTGAATGGAGGATGGATCAGAATAGGGAGAGATTTGAGGCAGATAGGTTGACAAGCAGGCTATTACAGTAGTCCAGGCATGAGGTGATTAGGGTCTGCACCAGGGTGATGGCAGTATTATAGGGAAGGGGTGATGGTAGAGAAATGTTACAAAGGTGAAATTGATAGGCATTGGCTGCAGGTTGGGTATGGGGGTGGAGAGTAAGGATGTGAGGAATTGAAAAATGACACCTAGGTTGAGATGCTGAAGGACTCAGGATATTGGCGCCCTCAACGATAATATCGAAGTTTGGAAGCAGGAATGGTTTGAGTGAAAGATAACGGGCTTAGT